AAAGAAATAACATTTTGAACAAAAAGCTGACAAAAGACTATGAATTGGATTCAGAATGATAATCAAAACGTAGATAAAGTCGATCAACACCCCAAAGCTTGACAGTTATTATTACTTCTTCATTGGTCGACATTTTATTCCATAACGTTACACAGTTTTGATGCTGTTTTATATCCGATGATGGTGTTAGATTACGTGTGGAAGCATCTGTTGTTTCGGTTTCTTCTTCACTTGTGTTTTTTGGAAATTCTGTACAGAAAATGTGTACTAGTGCCCCCTACAGTATAACAATGAAAACACTAATTCTAGGAACACTATTATAGCTCAAATATATTTAGACTTTTTCTAAGTATAAGTCAAGTATACTTAAATGTCATTTTAAGTATATTTCTGAGAAGTACATAAAGCCCATTTCTGAGAAGTACATAAAAAGTAGACTAAAAGTATATTATTACTATAATATATTTACTATTTTTAGTTTAAAAGAAGTATACTAATAGCACACTTGAATAAACGTATTTTTCGTAAGGGTAGGCTATTTAAGCAGAGATGAGAAGGTTCTATTTTGACTATTCACAGGCAGTCAGAGGAACTCACAGAAGTGTTCGGTTTGAGCACCGGAAAGTGAACCTTTTTTGTTTTTTATAGCTGTGTGAGTCACTACATGCGGTTAGCTAGTGTAAATCATGGCATTGTAATTACATGCTAACGTGTGACAACAGTCCATAAAGCAAAGCCAGTGATTATGCATATAAAATGCTAATATCTTGACATAGTTGTGAAGTTAGTCTTCTGTATATTATCACTTTACCGGCCACTTTCATAGGCAACATTTAGCCTGCCAATGTGTCAGACATCCTCAAGTAACATGTTACAGCAGATACACACCATATGTTAGCAAGTACGTCTGTACAGCTCAGAAATATTATTCTCCCCTTTTAAAAAGGGTGCTTAATTGTCACACTCAGAGAAACTGTCCCTGTGTTCCTCAGCTGCTTCTAGCAATACTGGGTCACAAAGATTATGCAAGCTCACCAGCATAGCTTTTAGAATAGCAAGACTTTCATCACTGTGTTTTGTAGACTTGTGGACTAGGAATGATCACAACAAATATGAAATTCTGAGCAATTCAAACAAGATAATTCAGTTATCACACAAGTAATGAGTTCCTATTTGTTGCTTTGCACTGAGTCATGAAGACTTTTCGAGGAAGGATAGGATTTAATGGGAAATGTACACAGTAAAATGCTGAAACAACCTGACTACATTAGGTAACATCAACAGGCCATTTCTTGGGTTAGAAAGGTATCTTCAGTAATGTTCCCTCTGAATACGACCGAATGTCATAAATAAACAATTTATTTAAATGTTTTTGAAAGAAATTGCTTAGGCTCACCAAAGTGTTAGTTGTATAATCAAAAATGCAGTAAAAACAGTTATAATGTTAAATATTATTACAATTCATAAAAAAGAGTTTTCTATTTTCATACATTTAAAAAAGTGATTTATTCCTGTGATGGCAAAGTTGAATTTTCAGCAGCCATTACTGCAGTCTTCAGTGCCACATGATCCTTCAGAAATCATTCTAATATGATTATTTGCTTAATTTTCCATTATTATCTAAGTTGTGCTTATTATTTTTGTGGAAACAGCAATACATTTTTTCTGGATTATTTGATGAATAGGAAGTTGAAAAGAACAGTATTTATTTGCAACAGAAATCTTTTGCAACATAATTGCATTAAATGCCACTTTTGTTCAATTTAATATGCATCCTTGCTAAATAAAAGTATTGATTTCTTTAAAAAATCCTACTGACCCCACACTTTTGAACAATTGTGTGTGTATATATGTGTGTGTGTGTGTGTGTGTATTTATATAAATATATAGTTTCAGATTACCTCACTGAAACATGCTGATCATATCTTCAAATGAGTCATTTGCAATTTATTGTTAGCAATAAATTGCTAATTCTTTAAAATAAAGATGATTATCATACGCACATGCAAAGATGGAACTTTGACATTATTTTACATAGTGAATGAACACAAAAACTGGTTCCATCACAGAAACTTTTATTGAGAGCAATATATAGTACAAAACATCCACCTTCAATAACTTACAGTAAATTAGGCCAAATTTCATCCAATCTGACTCTGAGGGTTCTGCATTACAGTGTGGGTTCTGAGCTACCTTTAGCACTCAGAACACCTACGTGACTCTAAACAAACACATTTATGAGTGTCAAACATCAAAATATTGGCAAGAGTAACATCCGATGAGCTCACAGATCCTTAAGGTCAGCCAGTGAGCTGCTCCTCACTTTGGATTCTGTAACTGGGCCTTCCTAAACATGACCCTTTATGGTAATAATAGTGACCACAGTCTATCTCAGAGGAGGACTTCCTTAAATTCACACATATTGCCCAGTGTCAGTTCAGACCTCATGTTGTGTGCAACTGTCCTGGTCTGAATATTTGTCTGTTTGGAGTCCACAAGGCATTAATTTATCTTGCTGCAAGCTACATTATGACCAAGAATACGGCACATCAGTTCAGTTCTACTGGGAAAATCCCGCTTCCCCTCCCTCCCCCCATCTATGCAGGAGAAATCTGGTGATTGGTGGACAGGGGCGGTTGTTGTGTATTTGGGACTAGTCCACCCACCCCAGTAGTGTGGTGTTTTTTAACGCTGTTCTTAAGTGTATGAGAGGCTGTCTATCTCTGAGCAGTGTCGTCCCTCTTCTGTCACACTTCCAGGGGGTTCTGGGGCCCCTCTGCCCCCTGCGGAGGGTCTGGCTGGAGCCTGCAGATGGGCTTGTTGCACATGGGGCAGACGCTGCGAATTTCCAGCCACTTCACCAGACACCTTAGCAGGAGACAAAGTGAAAAGAGGAGAGATGGGTCTGTTATGCAGCAGCTATCTATAGACTTGAGCGCTTTTATGCATTATGGCCATGTCACAAGACGACAGGCTGAAACTGAAGGATGTTTTCGAATAATGAAAAGTCTGACAGGTGTTACTCAAGGCTAATTCTCATAATTCAGTCGCAATGCCTTGACAGCTTCATTTGTGGTTCTTGTTTTAGTGCCTCTAATAACATTCTGTGTGTCAGGAATCTACATGCTTGAATGTTTTTGAAGGAATGTGTTGTTTTAAATGTTCATATTGTAAAATCATCAATCAGTGTTTATTTTTATATGAATTATTTTCAGAATACAGAAACATAATGAGAAAGGTTGGGTAGTGTGACAAGATGCTAAAAGATCTTACTTTTTGTGGAAGGCATGAGAACACGGGCAAACCCCTAGTTCATCCCGGCTCCGAAACTCTTCCAGGCAAACTGCACAGGTCTGCTATAAAGTGAAAGAGAATGGAAGAAAAAAACAGAGACAGTCAGAGGCTTTCTATTCATTTATAATATATATATAATATATATATATATATTATAATTAATTTATATTTTATTGAATTATTTATATTTTCTAATTAAAACAATTGTAATAGTTTCAAACATTGTTAATACAATAACGTAGATGGTTGGCTAAAAATTTTAATTCTTACTCAATTTGTCATCCCAAACCTTGCTGGAGCAAAAAAATTTATTATGCAGCAGAATGTTCAAGGTGCTTTTTTATAGAAGGAATATGAGAGTTGATGATTAGTCCTGTTTTACTTTTTTTAAATAAAGGGGAAAAAATCAGTTTGGATATTCAGCCCGAAATTCTTTTTTGTGTTCTACGGAAGTAAGTAAGTCATACAGGTTTGAAATAACACGAGGGTGAGTAAATTATAGAAATGTAAGAATTTTACGTTAGAGTGAACTAAAGGTATTGTTTTGGCAGTTCCTTACTCCAAGAAGACTCAATTTTTTCCCTGGACCTTTTAGAATGACCTGTAAGAAAAAAGGTGTTTAATTATTAATAATATTATTTATAATTAGTATATGCATCTGTGTGTATGTGTGTGTATATATATATATTTTTTTAATTATAAATAAATCACCTCATTATATCCATATTGTTCTTGTGTGCCTTGTCGCCTCAATCTGTGAAATATAAAAAAATGTAGCATACGTTTAAAAAAAATTGTTTGCCCGCACATTCTTTACAGCAGTTTGATGTACTGTACTTTACTGGTTGCACTGTATTAATGCATTCAGCTTATTACATGTATTTATTTTCCTTAATTTTACACTTAAATTTTTACTTCTGTTTTTTCCTTTTTCATAATTTGAAATGAACTTTTATTATATTTTTTATTTTTTTTATAATGCCTATGGAAAGGACAATGAATAACCATTGTCTATGAAATAAAATACGACATAAATACACTTGCCATGTGACGTTTAATACAGCTGTTTATCTTCATTTTGTGAAAATATCCACAGCGCTTTCACTGCAGAAACTACTAACTGCTATATAGTTTAAGATACCTGAACAGGTAGCAACAGAAGATCATGCTCAACATGAAGATGAAGAGGCCAATCCCAAGAATGATGACATAGACATTGAGTGGAAGACGGCCGGTGATGTCTGTGGTCATTTTGCAGAACTTGTCTGTAATCTGCGTCACATAGGCATGCTGCAAGAGAACAAACAAAACCATGATTTTGGTCAAAAATATTTGTTAGTGGTGGGAGTCATGGGAGCTCATGACTGTTCAGCACTTATTTTTGCTCATCCTTGTTTTAATCAGTAAAATGAATACACAATTGAAATGTAATAAAAGCATAGACGTTGATTATCACTCATACATCATGAATCTGTTTTGTGAGTGGGTCGCATATTTCTTTCTTTCAGACCCTTGAAAGACAACACACATCACTGTGATTCTCATGTGTACACTTCTCAGTGTCCCCTGCATGCATATTGCATACTGTGAGCCTGCAGACTGTCCTCGTGTTTCTCAACTCCATGTAACACTGCTCTCATTGTTGGACCTCGCTGAGCAGCATGAACTTTTCACTGTAATACATCTTTTAAAACTGAAAAACAAGAGATGTCACAGCGGTGTTGGGTGATGTGTTCAACAGATAAGTGCAATAGCTTTTGTTTTAAAGTTCATTATTTACTGTACAGTTATAGATTGCACCTATAGGTTATGTACCTCATAAAAGTTAGGAGGGTACAATTTAACTTACAAAGACAATCATGTCAATGCAATTTATAGTTTTTTTTAAGCACAGCAAAATACTATGGCTGTTAATATGCACATACAAAATTTGACAGAATTTTCATGCAGCATATTGCAGGCAATTTGATGCAACCATATCTTTGTGGTGATCGAAAAAACTTGTCAAAATGATCAACTTGTGTATTTATTTATTTAAATAGCTAGTTGTTTATGAGCTTAATCAAGTCTTGTAGAAGTCCTCCAAAAGTCCTTGTCAAGTGTACCATGTTGACTTTCGAGTTCAAGCTATTTTATCACACATGGGAGAATTTCCAGAGCACTGAACATTATTTAGACAACAATGGTTTAACCTATATCCTAAGGCAATACATGTAAATAGCAATAGGCTTTTAGTTGTATATGGGATTGAAACAGTCATCTTTGCATCCAAAATGAATCAATTGTCTATATAATTTGGTAGAATGAATATTGCTCTGGGCTCTCTGAAAATATTAATGTTTTCGGAATGTCGTTCAGTATTTTCAAACTGCCATAGACCCAAACACTATTAGCATAAAGAATAGACATCCACACTTCATTTCACTGTGCTTGCAGATGAAACAAAAGCAGACAAGAAACGCTCCATTGTGCTGAAGCACAACGACAGGAGAAAAGGAATGCTGTTTTTGTACTTGGCTACAAAAAATAAAAACATTTATTTATTTATTTTATATATATATATTAAAATAAAGATGATTATCATACGCACATGCAAAGATGGAACTTTGACATTATTTTACATAGTGAATGAACACAAAAACTGGTTCCATCACAGAAACTTTTATTGAGAGCAATATATAGTACAAAACATCCACCTTCAATAACTTACAGTAAATTAGGCCAAATTTCATCCAATCTGACTCTGAGGGTTCTGCATTACAGTGTGGGTTCTGAGCTACCTTTAGCACTCAGAACACCTACGTGACTCTAAACAAACACATTTATGAGTGTCAAACATCAAAATATTGGCAAGAGTAACATCCGATGAGCTCACAGATCCTTAAGGTCAGCCAGTGAGCTGCTCCTCACTTTGGATTCTGTAACTGGGCCTTCCTAAACATGACCCTTTATGGTAATAATAGTGACCACAGTCTATCTCAGAGGAGGACTTCCTTAAATTCACACATATTGCCCAGTGTCAGTTCAGACCTCATGTTGTGTGCAACTGTCCTGGTCTGAATATTTGTCTGTTTGGAGTCCACAAGGCATTAATTTATCTTGCTGCAAGCTACATTATGACCAAGAATACGGCACATCAGTTCAGTTCTACTGGGAAAATCCCGCTTCCCCTCCCTCCCCCCATCTATGCAGGAGAAATCTGGTGATTGGTGGACAGGGGCGGTTGTTGTGTATTTGGGACTAGTCCACCCACCCCAGTAGTGTGGTGTTTTTTAACGCTGTTCTTAAGTGTATGAGAGGCTGTCTATCTCTGAGCAGTGTCGTCCCTCTTCTGTCACACTTCCAGGGGGTTCTGGGGCCCCTCTGCCCCCTGCGGAGGGTCTGGCTGGAGCCTGCAGATGGGCTTGTTGCACATGGGGCAGACGCTGCGAATTTCCAGCCACTTCACCAGACACCTTAGCAGGAGACAAAGTGAAAAGAGGAGAGATGGGTCTGTTATGCAGCAGCTATCTATAGACTTGAGCGCTTTTATGCATTATGGCCATGTCACAAGACGACAGGCTGAAACTGAAGGATGTTTTCGAATAATGAAAAGTCTGACAGGTGTTACTCAAGGCTAATTCTCATAATTCAGTCGCAATGCCTTGACAGCTTCATTTGTGGTTCTTGTTTTAGTGCCTCTAATAACATTCTGTGTGTCAGGAATCTACATGCTTGAATGTTTTTGAAGGAATGTGTTGTTTTAAATGTTCATATTGTAAAATCATCAATCAGTGTTTATTTTTATATGAATTATTTTCAGAATACAGAAACATAATGAGAAAGGTTGGGTAGTGTGACAAGATGCTAAAAGATCTTACTTTTTGTGGAAGGCATGAGAACACGGGCAAACCCCTAGTTCATCCCGGCTCCGAAACTCTTCCAGGCAAACTGCACAGGTCTGCTATAAAGTGAAAGAGAATGGAAGAAAAAAACAGAGACAGTCAGAGGCTTTCTATTCATTTATAATATATATATAATATATATATATATATTATAATTAATTTATATTTTATTGAATTATTTATATTTTCTAATTAAAACAATTGTAATAGTTTCAAACATTGTTAATACAATAACGTAGATGGTTGGCTAAAAATTTTAATTCTTACTCAATTTGTCATCCCAAACCTTGCTGGAGCAAAAAAATTTATTATGCAGCAGAATGTTCAAGGTGCTTTTTTATAGAAGGAATATGAGAGTTGATGATTAGTCCTGTTTTACTTTTTTTAAATAAAGGGGAAAAAATCAGTTTGGATATTCAGCCCGAAATTCTTTTTTGTGTTCTACGGAAGTAAGTAAGTCATACAGGTTTGAAATAACACGAGGGTGAGTAAATTATAGAAATGTAAGAATTTTACGTTAGAGTGAACTAAAGGTATTGTTTTGGCAGTTCCTTACTCCAAGAAGACTCAATTTTTTCCCTGGACCTTTTAGAATGACCTGTAAGAAAAAAGGTGTTTAATTATTAATAATATTATTTATAATTAGTATATGCATCTGTGTGTATGTGTGTGTATATATATATATTTTTTTAATTATAAATAAATCACCTCATTATATCCATATTGTTCTTGTGTGCCTTGTCGCCTCAATCTGTGAAATATAAAAAAATGTAGCATACGTTTAAAAAAAATTGTTTGCCCGCACATTCTTTACAGCAGTTTGATGTACTGTACTTTACTAGTTGCACTGTATTAATGCATTCAGCTTATTACATGTATTTATTTTCCTTAATTTTACACTTAAATTTTTACTTCTGTTTTTTCCTTTTTCATAATTTGAAATGAACTTTTATTATATTTTTTATTTTCTTTATAATGCCTATGGAAAGGACAATGAATAACCATTGTCTATGAAATAAAATACGACATAAATACACTTGCCATGTGACGTTTAATACAGCTGTTTATCTTCATTTTGTGAAAATATCCACAGCGCTTTCACTGCAGAAACTACTAACTGCTATATAGTTTAAGATACCTGAACAGGTAGCAACAGAAGATCATGCTCAACATAAAAATGAAGAGGCCTATCCCAAGAATGATGACATAGACATTGAGTGGAAGACGGCCGGTGATGTCTGTGGTCATTTTGCAGAACTTGTCTGTAATCTGCGTCACATAGGCATGCTGCAAGAGAACAAACAAAACCATGATTTTGGTCAAAAATATTTGTTAGTGGTGGGAGTCATGGGAGCTCATGACTGTTCAGCACTTATTTTTGCTCATCCTTGTTTTAATCAGTAAAATGAATACACAATTGAAATGTAATAAAAGCATAGACGTTGATTATCACTCATACATCATGAATCTGTTTTGTGAGTGGGTCGCATATTTCTTTCTTTCAGACCCTTGAAAGACAACACACATCACTGTGATTCTCATGTGTACTCTTCTCAGTGGCCCCTGCATGCATATTGCATACTGTGAGCCTGCAGACTGTCCTCGTGTTTCTCAACTCCATGTAACACTGCTCTCATTGTTGGACCTCGCTGAGCAGCATGAACTTTTCACTGTAATACATCTTTTAAAACTGAAAAACAAGAGATGTCACAGCGGTGTTGGGTGATGTGTTCAACAGATAAGTGCAATAGCTTTTGTTTTAAAGTTCATTATTTACTGTACAGTTATAGATTGCACCTATAGGTTATGTACCTCATAAAAGTTAGGAGGGTACAATTTAACTTACAAAGACAATCATGTCAATGCAATTTATAGTTTTTTTTAAGCACAGCAAAATACTATGGCTGTTAATATGCACATACAAAATTTGACAGAATTTTCATGCAGCATATTGCAGGCAATTTGATGCAACCATATCTTTGTGGTGATCGAAAAAACTTGTCAAAATGATCAACTTGTGTATTTATTTATTTAACTAGCTAGTTGTTTATTTGCTTAATCAAGTCTTGTAGAAGTCCTCCAAAAGTCCTTGTCAAGTGTACCATGTTGACTTTCGAGTTCAAGCTATTTTATCACACATGGGAGAATTTCCAGAGCACTGAACATTATTTAGACAACAATGGTTTAACCTATATCCTAAGGCAATACATGTAAATAGCAATAGGCTTTTAGTTGTATATGGGATTGAAACAGTCATCTTTGCATCCAAAATGAATCAATTGTCTATATAATTTGGTAGAATGAATATTGCTCTGGGCTCTCTGAAAATATTAATGTTTTCGGAATGTCGTTCAGTATTTTCAAACTGCCATAGACCCAAACACTATTAGCATAAAGAATAGACATCCACACTTCATTTCACTGTGCTTGCAGATGAAACAAAAGCAGACAAGAAACGCTCCATTGTGCTGAAGCACAACGACAGGAGAAAAGGAATGCTGTTTTTGTACTTGGCTACAAAAAATAAAAACATTTATTTATTTATTTTATATATATATATATATATATATATATATATATATATGAAGAGTTTGGTTCCAAAATGCGATAAACGCCATTTAAAAAAAATAAATAAATGAGTTTCCGCCCAAA